GACAGCGGACACCCTGCTGTTTCTAGGTGGAGCACTGCAGAAGTCATCAGGGAAGGGGAACATGCCTGAACTTGGCAGCTGTGAAGCCTGTAAAGTTGACAAGCCAGTGATTGTATGGATATTGATGGTGAGAAAGCAAGGTGGTGGTTGCAGAAAAAACAACTAATACCTTGGGTGAGAACCCATGACAATTCAAATGGGGAAGGGGACATTGCTGTTCATTTTTAGAAACCCGTGCACTAAGGGTAGAACTTGCTCTGGATGAAAAGGGCAAGAGATGAGAAGGAGCAAATCGCCTTGCTGGTTTTTAGATCAGTTTATCGGGGGGAGGAAGGGAGGTGTGTACATCACATAATTTAGAAAGGAAAATCGCGGTAGAGCCATACAGCTGACCTGGTAAGGCCCTATGCAGTTCTGCTCTCACCTTTGTTTTGATGCTATTAGGTGTGAGATGTGAGCAGGGGGAAGGCAGTCTCTAGAGGGACCCCTCTCACCACTTACAGAGCACTCACAAACCACACAGGCTCAGCCAATGCTTTGTGCCTAAATTCGGCTGTGTGGGCCAACAGCCCGGAGAAGGGTGCTGGGAGATGGCAAGAGCTAAACAAGACACAGGTTTCTGTTGGGATACAATATTGAATTGGTTTTTAATTCATTTCTGTTTAATTTTTTTTCCTCATTTTGTTGTTTTTTATCATGTTTTTCTTTGGGTTTCTCTCTGTTTTACAGTTCTTTTGGGCTCTTCTTTTGAGGCTGTGTTTGATGCGTTGGCTTCCCATCCGCTGCTCGTAACCATCTCTGCTATGAGTTGTGAGTGAGCCATCACCATGCTTCTGGGTTTTCATTTTGTTTTGTGCTTTTGTTATATATGGAAGTCCAAATTACACCTGGTTTTCTTTTTTTCCTCATGATATGTTTGTTTTTCAGCAGGATCGTGACAGCTACTTAAAGGGGATGCAAAGGCCTAGAACAATTGGGATTCTCTCTGAGGGGCTGGCAGATATTTGGGTGGTGCCAGAGACTGTGATTTTGTCACTTCTGTGGTTTCAGAGGCAAGGGGAGAGGAATTCTCTCGTCTTACATTTCTGGGTCCAGCTTCCTCTATTAATTTCTGACTCTCCATTGCAATAAAATATGTTTGCTAGTATTAATGATTCTATGAAGTGATGCTGTTTAGATCAGCAAATCAAAACACATATAAGAAGTGCAGATTATGTTCCCAACAGAAGAGGTGGAGATGCGTGTCCCTGCATTTCCCCCATAAGCCTAACTGAAGAAGCAGAAGATTCCTAGAAGTCACAGAAATTCTTCCTTTTCATTCAGTTAAAGCTTTCTTTCACTTTTCCTGCTTATCACCACCTTTCCAAAAAGTCATTTCAATCGAAGATATATCTCCAAATGCTTTCCATGATCTGCGCCATTTCCTCTCTCCCCTTACCACCTTCTTGTCAATCTGTGCTAACTTTCTTTTCATGTTCTTACTGCTGAAAACCCTTTTCCTGGTTCCAGGAGAGATGAGTTGATCCTAGATGACAGCAGGCCTGCCAGGGGCAAAGATGGTGGATCTCATGAGTTGTTTGCACAGGCTTCCAGAAAGTAGGGGAAGAACCAGTGGTCATGTTCCATGAGAGTACCACAGTCTTAAGAAACAGCAGACTGGCATACAAATACAAGTTTTTGGGAAGGAAGCTGGAAACTGGGACATTCAAAATGTCAGACCAGTGAAGCAAAAGAAAAAATTCTAATCTCTATGAATGGATATGGTATAAGGAACCAGGATTCAGATTAATGAGGAAATACAAGCACTCCTCAAATAAAGGGAGTGTACTGGAAAGACAGACTTCATGTGAGTCACAAGGGAGACACTGTTGGCACTTGAAATACAAATGATCACGAGTATTTGACCTGGAGAATGATGAAAAGCTGATGGGTGGAAAAGAGCACAGCTTGTAACAGTGGAACACTTCATATAGGATTTTGTTACCTAGGTCTGTGTTTGTCTGTGAGGTAGTCTACATTGCTAAGGCAGTGAAAGGAACACAGAGTGTAGTTTTTGCTCTGTGATAGTGATCCAACACATTCTTCCAAGCTAAAACTTATTTTAAGTCAAGCTTCTAATGTAATATACTTCACATCTGTGACATCTCTCCAACAGCACTGTGTAATAAAGTACTTCAGCTTTGTGGTAGACACAGTATGAATGTGAGAAGAGATACACTTTATAACATTTTTGATAGTAATACTGATGTGCAAAAAATAAAGAATAAGTCATGCTTAGTTGAAAATTGTATTTCAACTTGCTAGCTTATTATATATTCATCATTTTTGGGATTCAAATCCGTTGGGCTTTATAGGATGCCTTGGTCTGAGCCTCCTAACTGTAACAATTTCTATTCTGTGTCAAATGTAGATTGGTCTGGACAACAAGGATGTTTTATCCAGGCTCTTTTCCACCGCTGGACAATGCAGTGGTGGGATGATATTTATTAACTGGAAGAAATGAAGTGTAGAAAGAAATCATCTGGAAAATTAATATTGGTGAATTCAGAACAAAAGTCAATAACAATTGGGTATACAGCATGTGCTACAACAAATGCTCAGGCAGGAGCTGTTTGTTTGGATGAAAAACAAGGTATCTCCACAGCCTGGGAAATATTTGATTGAAGTGATTAGTGACACAGTCAAAAGGCTTGACTAATTGCCTTATGACTGGCAGAGCAGTCAAATATGGTTAAAAGAAGTGCAGCCTTTATGAGAAAAAGATGCTGTTACAGGGTTAGCATCTACCTGTTTTGTTCAAAGGACTCTAAATTGTCAAAACAATTGCAAAGTCTTGCTTAGTTGCAGTACCCTTCCCTGAGGTACCACATGAAAGAGACCTAGAGAGAGCCCTTGGGGTTCAGCAGCAGGACTGGCTTGGGGAGCAGCCAGTCATGTTGGCTGTGGGACAGGTGCACAGTTAAGAGATGGCTGGGCTTTTGCTTTGCTTCTGAAAGAGGAGGGAAATAACATTTGGAAACTGCCTAGCATTGGTTTCAGAACAGATCTAATTAAAGACTACAAAGATAGCCTGTCTGCCAGAAATAGAAAGTATCGATCTAAAATGATTTTCAGAGACATTGCCAACCATACTGAAACCAGCACACGTGCTGTTTGGTTCAGTACATGCACAGTTGATAACTGAAGACATCGAAGTCAGGAAAGAACATGAAAGACAAACTTCTATGGACTGCAAACACTGAATAATATTTGTTGTGGAAACATTATGGATTACATGTTAGAATTGTTCACAATACACTCTTATGTCTCATGAAAAGTATCAAAGCACCCTAGCTTCCGTTCATAATAGAAAATAGGAATGTCCTCTTGCTTTTGAGTATGTAGAGAAAATTTATGGTGACAGCTGGTTCAACAGATGTATTCCAGTGGCCAGTATTCTGCTTTACGGGAACTCACATCAGTGAATTCACTGGAATTCTGAAAATATTTTGCAGTCATTTGTCAGTGGAAATCCTAAATTGCATGCTCTGAGAGAAATGAGGTAGAGGAACACCAATATAATATCTGCTGCTAAATAAGTATGTTATAGCTCAGGCTGGAGTACTGCAAGATGAAATGCTGCCTTAAGTGCATGGGATGTGCATAGAGGTTCTCCTGGTGGAGTATTTGATTAGCATAAAAGAGTTGTAAGATAGACTTGCAGCTTTTTTTGCTTGGAGTCACTGTAACTGAAGAGCTGCATTGTACACCGTACAGGTGTACATGTTCATGGCATGGTGTTGATGAACTTGCTTAACAAAAGTTTGAAGTTTTATTCTTTCTGAGAATGTTGAAATTCAGAGCAACTTCCCTGCACCCAAAAGGAAGCAACTGAATTGTACGTATTTAAAGTGGCAGAAGGGTGCCCTGGAACAAAAGTACAGAGTTTTAGGTGTAGTTTTGAAAGCATGGGCACTATGCTTAAAGAACAAACCTGAATCAACTGACCTACATGGGACAAGTTACTCAATTAGACTAGTTATTAATATGGTCAATTTTCTGCTAGAATGGGATCTTCATTATGAGTATGTTTAGTTTTTTGCCCAAGCTTAGCCTTAAGATGGAAGAATTGTGAGCCTGAACTTGGTTTTGCCACAAGAATTTTGAAAGCACTCTGTTAACTCTCATTAGTTTTGGTGCTTCTAGTTCAACTGAAAGGATTTGGTGGGTGTCATTTAAATGCACGTTTTTCAGAACAGTGGCATCTTCATTAGGTGAGCTCACATGGATAATGTTCTCGTGGAGGCAGCAGTGGAAAGAGTTGGAAGAGTTGCTCAGCCTGCAAAAGAGAGAAAGCCTCCAGGCCGGAGGAACAGTCACTGGAGTGCCATTCCACAGCCACTGTATTGAGCCTTCACTTTCCAAATAGAGGAAAAGGAGAATCAGAGAAAGAGAAAGTAAATATACATGATCTAAAATATACTGGGAAGAATCTGAAAAAAAAGTAAGAACTCCGGAAGTCAGAGGTTCTTAATTTGTTGAAGTCTTACAGAAGATGACAAGTTGACAAGCCTTGTCAGCAAATGTGTATGGTCATCTGCCTTGTAGGAGGTGATCCCCGTTCTCATCCTGACCAGGCTGTCTTCAGGCTTTGCTTAGCTCATGTTATTCATGACTCAGTTTTGCACTTGCTTTTCTTTACTAGCTTTTTCCTTGACCTGGAGTTTAAAAAGGGAAATATGATCCTGGATAATGTTCTTATCTCTGTGCCTAGACTATTCCTGTTCTAACATATCACTGTAACAACCTTACCTTCTCTGTAAAATAATCTTTTCTAGAAACGCAGAATTGGAGACTGCTGCCTGTTTAGCTGGCTGCTAGAGCACAAGGAGGCAGTAAGAGCTTTGTATCTCTTGAGTACATATGAAATAACAGTATAGACAAGAAGTTCCCAGGAGTTAGCTGCGCAGGGGATTTAGTCATCTGCTCTGTCTCTGAGATTTTCTCTTGTCTCCCTTCAGCCCCGCAACGTTGCTGGTTTTCGAGGAACGGTCCGCTATGCCTCTGTGAATGCACACAAAAACAGAGTGAGTATTCTTGGCTTATAAGGAGCTCAGATTATTTCCCCTCAGAAACTTGTTTTCAGGAGCAGGGGAGTAAGAGGCATGAGTTTTGGTTTGTTATCTACAGAAGTTAGTATATCAGATGATTTCCATTAGGTGGTAAAGGTTATAAAGTCAAATTTATGATTCAGTTATTGGATGCTCTCTAGTTGGCTGCCTTAATAATTGTAATTATTGCATTATCAGACACTTTTCAAGGGCAACACCCCCCCCCCCAACTTAAGGGGAAATCTGGGTAAGGGCCAGGCTGCTTGATGCTAGTTTCTAGCAAAATTTGGCTGGGAATTACCAAGTGCCAAGTCCCCAAATCCATTCTTCACCTGTAATTTTTAATATTAATGTTGTGCTGTCAGGTGAAGAGCCACCTAGTGAGGGCTAGGTTATTTTTCCTTGAAAAGAACCATTATTTACATAGTGTCTGGCCTGTTTCATTCTAAATACTTCTGGAAGTCTCGTTCCTCTCAAAACACTCCTATGTCCTGTTTCAGTAATGTTCCTTTGCAGATGGTAAACATTAAGTTTCGACAACTCAGGCCCCTAGTGGGATTCTTGGGGTGTCCTGTGCAAGGCCAGGAGTTAGACTCAATGATCCTAATGGGTCTCTTCCAACTCACCATCTTATATGATTCTATGATTCGAAGTTATGCTAAGTGCTCGCTAGATGGAAACTATCAGCCCTCCTGCATTACCTCCAGGTTTCTGGCTTTCCTTGTGATGAGTCTGTAGAATGACCTGTGACATGTAAGGAAGTGTCAGGTTCTTTTAGGGAAAGAAGTTATTGTCTGCAAAAGGTGGAAAGTGTGATGTGGGGAGGGCAGTTGAATGCTATCATGAATTCTCTATTTCCTGGGAGGCACTGAGAAACCTGAGGTGTAATTTTTGGAAGAGCTGAATAGTGCCAGCTGTAGCTGGTATCAGCTGAATGTATATTTAGACACAAAAATTGCTGTATAATGCAGGCTATTCTGAGAAATCATGTTCTAGACATTGGATATTGAGCACCAAAAATGAATTTGTATGCTTTAGCAATTTCAGCCTTAACCTCCACGTTCCAATTTCCCATTCACTAGCCAAGGAGGAGAGTGGTATGTGGAAGTGTTACAAATCTGTAAATTGTGGTGCGTGATTGTGAGTGTTTTGCAAAAGCCCTTGAGCAAATATTGTCCTGTGAAAAGAGTGTGAATCATATTTAAGGTTAGAAACAATAATAAAAAATATGTCCGACACAATTTTTTGGATTTTTTTCTTAATCTAGGTTATTCCACATCCCATTAATAAATATTTCACTCCTGTGGAATACTCAGTGAGGGACAGTCCTATGGAAAACTTGTGCTTTCTCCCTTTGCTAATATATTCACAAAAATGAAAACAAATGAGGTTATTCAGGTGACTTTGACGTTGCCAAGTTGAATAAAAGCTTAGGTTTGTATCTTTAGTCTTTAATTTGTCTTCTTTAGTCATTGAATGAGAAGTATGACTTCTCTTCCTGCCTTTTAAATGAGGTAGCTCATCTGGAAAGCACACCTGGACTACTGAGCAGCGTGGAACTTTGCTCCTCAGTCTTAGTCTCTCTTTTCTCCAGGAGATGGGTAGACACGATGACCTGTGGTCCCTCTTTTACATGTTGGTGGAGTTTGCGGTTGGTCAGCTTCCATGGCGAAAGATCAAAGATAAGGTAGGAAACCTCCTGTCTGTGCTTAAGAGAGGGGGCTCCGTAATAATTTTAATTATTATGACTCTCTATTATTCCTCCTGCAGCTCTGTGCAGCTTTTTTCTAAAGTAAAGCCAGAATCATCAGATCTTGCTGCAAGATGCTAACCTGCTTTTCTGATGCACAGGGTGGGCTTATCTTATTTGGAGTAATTAGACTTTATTTTAATGCACATTGTTAATCATATTTGATCAAGTGATTCTTACTTTGTTCTTGCAAAGCAAAAAATAAAATGAAAAGACTGAGCTGTCCTTCTAACAGATAAAAAGAGCCTTTAGAAAGGCAGGAGGATAATGCTTTACTGTGCCAAACAAGCCAAATGGGATTTGAAATCAAAAAGTTAGAAAGAATAAAGCTAGCTGTTGATGATGTCTTGGAAATACTTTTTGCTAGGGAATAAAATCCCTGGAAAGAAGTAAATTGCCTGTGCAGAAGGCTCTGCTAAAGACACCCTGGGGAGTGTTTCTAAATCAGGATTCCCCTTTGACTTCTGTCTGCAGTAATCAACCTGCTTGGGACAGCAAACGAGAAGTGTGTAGACATTGTGCTGGAAGAGGCTGTGTTCCAGGAATAAGACTAGGTGATATTCCAGGAGAGATAAGTCTGTATAAATGTGATGCAATAGAAGAGATTCTTGGCTCTGAGATTTTTTTTTTTTTCCCCAGGAGCAAGTTGGCATGATAAAAGAAAAGTATGAACACCGAATGCTGCTAAAACATATGCCTTCAGAGTTCCACCTTTTTCTGGATCACATTGCAAGCCTAGACTATTTCACCAAGCCAGACTATCAGGTGGGAGCCTTTCTTTGCTACCAATATGATGCATGGCACTGTGGATTGGCATTTGGATTTTTTAAAGATTTCCATGCATGTGTTTATATCTGGCTGATGAATACCTTTCCTAGGACCAGGAGAAAAAGGCTGGACTGTACCGTTCTCCAAAATCTCAAAAGTTTTTTCATCTCCTTCCACGACCCTGTATTCCACACCAAAAAACTCATCCCAAACAACACAGTACTTCTGGCTTTGATTAAAACACAAATATTTCGAGGTACTCCAAATGTGTCAGAATTCTAGTGCGGCTCGCCAAGATCTGCAAAGAGCCTATACCAGCAGCTCAACTGTGCCCACCAACCCCTTTATTTTCCTGCAGACTCATATAAGCCTTAGCCATTATTATCTCTTTCTTTAATATTCATCTAATATATGGATTTTCCTCCCATTCAGTGTTTGCTATCAGCATGTATATGATCAGTTTTGGTACTCAACTAACACGATATAACTGGAGCAACTTGATTCTGTGTCACTTTTTTTTATCACGGTGGTTTTCTCTGTACATTAAGACAGAGGGATGGAAACAACATTTTATTAGCAAATGTGTGCCTGCTCCTGTTGATAGTGCATCAAATGAGTGGGAAAGTGGTAGGAGGGTGTTTCAGCAAACTCTCTCCAGCAGTGCCTTTATGTTTTAGCTATGTACGTATTGTAGCGTAGCAACACACATTTTTAAGAAATTAAAAAGAAAAAAAAGGAAAATACTTTCCAGATAGTGCACCCAAAAAATAACATTTGCCACTAGGAGGAAGAGCTGTAGAGGGATGGAGGTGGACTGAGAAGATGCAGAGGGAGATGGATTTGTTTGGCCTGGAAAAGTCAAAGAGGGGATCTAATTGCTGTCTTTTGCTGCCTCAAGGACAGTTGTGGGGAGAATAGAGGCAGCAAGGGAAGTTGTGACTAAATTTAGGAGGGAAAAAATCAGAATGTGGGTTCTTAAATATGAAACAGGTACCTAGAGAAGCTGTGGAATTTTCATTCTTGGGGATTTCCAAAGATTGACTGGATGAGGAATCTGATCTGCATTTTCAGTAGCTCTGGTTTGAGCAGGTGGTTGGATTAGAGGTTTCAACATCTCCTTTTGAACATACATCCTCCTATATTCTATTCCAGTTTAAAATAATGGTGTCGTAATGGTACTGAAAAACCATCCTTGAGATGGAAATGGAGGGAGATGTTTCCAGACAGTTCTAGGGCAGTACAAATCACAAACATCCCTTTCACAGTAGGGGATTTGACTGAAGCTGTGAATTGCCTCTTTGCCTTCAGCTTCCTGCAGTTGCAGCTTGGGCGAGAAGCTTCCAAAAGGGAACTCCCCACAAAAGTCTGACATGTGCAGGTTACCACCTAAAGTGATTCTTCTGGCTTGACGTGGAGACCTATTCTAGATAGCAAATTCTCCAAAAAGCTGAGTTCCAGAGATGTCTTTATGTTGATTTATCTCGATGTATTACTGTGAAAGACTTTTTAATCTTTCACAAGGAGGCAATTCACAGCTTCAGTCAAATACCCTAAAGGGGGCCTGTAAGAAAGATGGGGACAGATGTTTTAGCAGGGCCTGTTTCAATAAGACAAGGGATAATGGTTTTAAACTGAAAAAGGGTAGATTTAAACTAGATATGAAGAAGAAATTCTTCACTATGAGGATAATGAAACACTGGGACAGGTAGAGGTTGTAGATGACCCATCTCGGGAAACATTTGAAGATAGGCTGGATGGGGCTCTGAGGAACCTGGTCTAGTTGAAGATGTCCCAGTCTGTGGTAGGGGGCTTGGACTAGATGACCTTGAAAGGTCCATTCCAACCCAAACCATTTCATGATTCTAACTTATCCACTCTCTGTCTGTATTCATGTAAACCTTTAAGCATCCACCATGTGACAGGGAGGCACCACAGCTTAAGTTCTTGCTGTGAGAAAAACTGCTTTCTTCTGTTTGTTCTACACTTACCACCTGCCAGTCTGATTTAATGCCCCTTACACCTTGGTCCTGACTGTGAACTGATGCCTAGCTCCTTTCTCACTCCCAGCCACAGAATCCTGAGGACCTGGGACTGTTATGTGCAGTTGTAAAGTTTTGACCTTTCATTGGAAGTATAAAGGTTTCAGAGAAAGCTGAGAAGACTCAGTAAATCCATGGAATAAGTTGAGAATAATGGCAGATTAGACACGAGTGTCCTTCAGCCTGTGAAAAAAGACCCTAGAGGGAATACAGTAGAGTGCTGTAAAATCCCTAATGGCCTGCAAAGTCAAATGCAAGAGTTACAGAGTAAGTTATAGCAGAAAGTACCAGAAGTAGTTTTAAATGAGTGGGTCCTTGATGACATGAAGGAATTCTGAGAATAAGACAGCTGAACTTCTAATTTTAGCATGTGGTTTCTTACTTCAGACTGCTTCAGTATCGAAGGAATGGAAGGTGGCAGAAGCAGTACCAGTTTTTAAGTAGCTTCAGAAGATCCCAGTCCCTGACACTGACATGTCCATCACAAAGAATCAGAAGCTGTGATAAGACTGGGATTAGTGGACATATGATCTGATGATCTAGTGAGGATGATCTAGGGAACAGAAGCCAGTAGGGCTTTTATAAGGGCATCTTTCTACAAATGTGTGGAGTTCTTTCAAGGCATCTTTAAAGATTTGGGGATATTAATTTTGAAAAGACCTTTGACAGTAGCAGTCAAAGCGTTGCCAAAGTAGCAGTCAGAAAAATCCTAAGAATAATTGGAGTAGCATTAGAGAGTAAACAGAAAATATCCTTGTGTTACTATGTAGATTTGTGTGAAGCATACTCTTAAGTACTCCCTGCAGTTCCATTCCTGCATATCAAAAAGGATATCTTCAAATCAGAGAAGTTGTAGGGACAGGTAACAAGGAGGCTCAAGATACCTTCAGATATGGAAGGACTGATAAGATAGGACAGTACACTTTGAAAAAAAAATAAGTACTGACATGTACATAACATCTTTAAAATCAAAGGCAGAATAGCAAGAAGTGGAAAATTATTGTGTTCTGCTTCTTCTGATGTGAAAATAAGAAACTGTCAAATGAAATCAGCAGGATGCGGGTTGGAATGAGTAAGGAAGGTCGTTCACATAATTGGTGTGTTCTTTGCCAGAAGATAGGTATAGTCTGAAAGCTTATGCATTTAATAAGTAATTAGGCAAATTAATGCCCATTTCCATCTGAGTGAGAGGGGAAATGGCATTGTTGTGACAGGAGGCTAACAAGCAGAAACACAATCCTATCATATTTATCTGTCACACCAGTAAAATCCCTTTCAAGACAAAGAAGCTGGTACCACTACCATGTCATGTTCACACTGCAGAGACGTTACATGTGCCTTGGTCTGACCAACAGTCTACTGTGGAAATTCTTTTGATCAAATGTTGTGCCACTGCAGGAGTGGAGCACCTAATTCTAGGGTTCTAGGTCACAAAAAGGAGCAAAAAGATGGCTCATCTGAAAGCTGCGAATAGATATTTTACTGCAGTTTGGTAGAAGATAGTAGGAAGTGGCTGTCTTGTCCTTCTGATCATGCTGATAAACAGAACTGGAATATAAATACAAATAGGGTGTTTGTTCGTGGTAATTTTTATTCATAACTTAGTGCTCATTCTATACCATAAACCAAATGTATTTGCCACCACACTCTCTCTCCCTATAGACTTTAGGCTGAATCCTAAGTCAGTTCTGCATTGTTTAGCTGAATAATTTTATTAGAAATATAGGACCTCACGTACAGCTCTGTTGGCCTATAGCATCCAGTTTCCCTTTGACAGCAGAACATCAGATTTCTCTGGGTAATGCACTGGTGCATGGAACACTATTGACAGTAGTTTCATTCTCTCTTAAAGAATATCAGTTCTTAGACAGCAACAAGCATAAAGAAAACCAGCATGAGCATACATACCTGCCATCTTATAAAGAAGATTGTGTCATCTCTTTTACATTTCTTATGCAGCCAAATGTGTCAGGCCACTTTGTGCATAAGCATAACATAGGGCTCCTGACCAAGCATTTGAGCCAGACACTGCAACGAATCTGCATCCTAGGACTGCATTTTCCTGTTGTGTTTATTTCTTCTGACTGTCCTTGAACTACATATCAAATGTACTGTTCTGCACGTCTCATCTACAGGAAAGTTGAGCTGAAGTTATGGCTTTAGATTTATAGTAACAAGGCAACTGCAAGATTTCATCAAATCAGTGCCAAAATGTTGCAAGTGTTTCTTTTATAGTTTTGAAGAAATTTCGCTCACTGAGCCAAAACCAGTCTAAGAAACAATCACTGCCATTTTATAACATTAGCTTTCATTTCTTAGTACCTTTTTTTTGAAGATTGGAGGTTATAAACTGCACTTGGTCTTTGTGTGCATACTTCAGATTTTTGGTGAGAGCCACCCTCAGCTACTTAACATAAATTGTTCTTGTAAATCTATTCCAGCTAATCATGTCCGTTTTTGAGAACAGCATGAAAGAAAGAGGCATCACTGAAAATGAAGCCTTTGACTGGGAGAAAGCTGGTACAGATATTTTGTTATCCACTAGCACCTCAACTCCACCACAGCAAAACACCAGGCAAACAGCAGCCATGTTTGGGTGAGTGTTGCAGTTGTGCCACTCAGACTACGGTCAACAAGCTCAGTAATAAGTTTGTTTTTTAAAGATTTCAAGACTGTTACGATCCTGGGAAGCTGGGGCCTCATGGCATCCACCACTTCAATTGACTTATATATATATATATATATTAACATATGTCTGAGGTGGTAGGAACCCAGTTTCAGATCCTTGTTGTCTTGAAAATGCATTTTCTGCTGGGGATGAGTGTGTGGGTTGGAGTCACATTAAGGGATGTCTGGAGATCTCTGAGTAGGATAAATGGAGCTTGTATATTGTGCATATTATATGGCATACATGCCTGGAGCTTCTGTGAGAGCACCTGCTTTGAGGCCACTGATGCCTTGCTGTGGGGTGTGTTTGTGGTTGACAGTGAGCTGAGTACAGCTGAGTGCCTGCACTGCTCACACCTCTAACTCAGCTCCTCAGCCTTCACAGCGTGTTTCATGTGCTGGTGCAAAGGTATACAGAGATTGATGCTCAGAGGTACAGGTGAGCCCAAACTAAAAATGATAAGGCTTGGTTCTCTGATCTGTCTTGGTGCTTTTGAGGGGGCTGACATTGGGGAATAACAATAATCCCTAGTAATATTACAGAAGATAAAAGCTATGAGGCCTATGAAGCCTCACTTGCTTGTGCAAAGGGGAAAGTTTCTTCTAAGCCCAATACTGTGTGATGGGCACTTCTGAAGAAGCTTTCAGCCTGTGTATCAAGGGTCCCAAGATGCTTCCACTCATACAACCCACTATCTTTGTGACTTTACATTAGATATCCTGATTCAGGCTGTCATATCTGGGATAAAGCTGGACTGCCTGTTTTTCAGCCTGATCATACCCTAAAAGCTGTGGAATTCCTGTGGGGCAGTGTGATAGGCCTCCTTCTTTATATACTGATAATTTGTGTTATCTCTTCCATAGGGTGGTTAATGTCACTCCAGTACCTGGGGACTTGCTTCGTGAGAACACTGAGGATGTCCTACAGGGTGAACATCTGAGTGATCAAGAGAATGCTCCTCCCATCCTGTCAGGCCGACCAGTGGAAGGTCTTGGTCAGGCTCCAAACACTGCTTTCAATGAGGGTGAAGTTTGGGAAGAGACAGATGTGAATCGCAACAAACTCAGGATCAGCATCAGCAAAGTAAAGAACATTCCCTGATCTCCTGTGGCTGTTGGATTTAGGGCAAGGATCAGGTGTACTGATGTAACATGCTACCCTACAGTGCAGGCCAAAAAGCATTGAGGAGTTTCCTTGTGGAAAGAGGAAATTACAAACAATTTTTTCACAGAGTAAAAGCCATTGGGATTAATTCGGATCTTTATGCGAGTGATATTTTGGGGGCCACTAATGCTAAAGTGAATCTTTCTTACAATCATGTCATTATCTAGGATTTTGATACTTCAAGCAAGGAAATTGTAGTCCTTGCATAACTGATACAATATCTGAAATGCCTCAAGCTTGGAAATTATAAGCCAAAATTTTAATGTTTCCCAACCTCTTGTGTAAATACATTTAATCAGAGATGTCTTTGTAAGCTGTATTTTTCTGTATCTTGAATCATCACTAATTTATCTCTTCCTTTTTTTTAACTTTCCTTTCTAAGGGTAGGACAATCTATAAGGAGCATCTAATGATGGTTTCACCCCTGTGAAGAGTGAGAGAAACCATCACTTAATATTCTCATATCTGCATTCTAAAATCATATTTCCCTTTTTAGCTTGCATGAAGTGTATACTTCAGTTGATTTTCCTCATAATCTCTAAGATGTTTCTCAGTCCTTTCATGTATATCTTACTTAATTTTTTGGAGGCATCCCCGCTGAATGATGATACTATAGTAAATGTTAAGTATAAGAATCTACCTCTTAGTTTATTTATTAGATCAGCTTACATATTGTAAATAAGTTAGTATTTGTGGCAGGACATCAGATACATGTATAATCTGTTAGCTGAGAAATGTTCATCAGTCTTAAAATGTTGTCAGGGCATATTGGATTCATGTCACAAACCTGTCTTTAGTGGACATTTGTGGACTAGCATGTTAAATTTATCAGTCTTCTGGGTCTGACCAGAATTTACTTCAGTCTCTACTAGTTAAAAGGTAGTCCTTATTTCAGCAATGTAGATATCTTCACTATCCTTAGTCTTAGTAGAAAAAATATTATGCATGGATAAGAAATAATCTTATCTAACTTGCTTAAAATTCTCCAGTGCAAATATTTCAGATCAATGAGTTTTATGTATGGAATGTCAGCAGCAGTATCCCCCAACACTGGGAATTATGAACCAAATTCAAATCACTTCTTCATCTCTCACTGGTAACGGTGTGCCTTCCCAGAAGTTTTCATTTGAAGGCACATGACGTAAGAAAAGCCTGGTAGAGAGGGACACTTCTGTTCACACAACATACAGAAAAATCATGGTAACTTCTGTGTGCTTTTCTGTTCCTTTTAACCACGAGGTGCCTTGATGCTTTCAGTCAGACTGAGATGTGCACAGGGGAGTCCTAACTGTCCTTTCTGTGTGCTAGTTCTATGTCATGTCTCAGGTACCTGGTGCTGTTGTGCACAAGCCCTGTCATAACAGCAGCTAGAGGCAGGAGAGGTTTCTATAAGATCCACAGCATAATCAGGTGACTCTCCCACCAGGGAATATGCTATTTGTTGTCAGGTTACTGGCAAAGGAGCTTCCAGACTTAGTCAGCATGGCAACGAGCACTTTCAGTTCTGACAAGTCTATCCTACACTGCAGTCTATGCCATAGACCTCAGGGCATCATGCTCTCCAAAGCTGAAGTCCTTTCTCTCTGTGGGTGGTGTTATCTTTGGTGTGACTTTTGCCTGTCCTTTTGCTTTGCCAGACCTATTGTCTTTACTCTGAGTGTTCTCTGAGAGAGAATACTTTTTTATTTAAGTAACAGTCACCATATGAAGAAAAAAAAGATGCTGCAGATTTGATACCTAAGGACACAGCTTCACCTCTGCTTGTAATCTGAGGCATACCTTGTGTCTTTCAGAACCACAAGGGCAGCTGGTGAACACCCTTCTGCTATTCACAGCGTCCCCATCCTTCATCTTTCAGTCTTGTAGCACTAAAAGTAACTGGCTCTCCTTGTCTTGCTCTTTGCATTTAGGTGATGAGATCTTGCTTTTTCTCTTCCTAATAATTCTCTAAGGTCATCCTTATTTCTTTGTTCACACAATTCTGATTTCCTTCTGTCCCACTTCTCCCATTTCTGTGCTAAGGACAGGGCTTACTGTCACTGTTCTCCCACACCATCCCTCAGTTCTCTGCTCTTGGATCTTACCAAGTTGCCAGCTACCCGACAGTTACATCAGCACTTTTCTCGTTTCACAAATGCATTTGACCTTCCTTTGTCACTAACCTTCTCCTGGCCATGAATGAATTACAGATTAAATCATTATCATCTGTTCTGCTTTTCCTCTAATGCCTGAAAGTTCTCCTCCACTATTCCTAGCTGCAAAGGCTCTTTAGTTATGCATTCCAAACCCAGCCTGAGTGGTTTAGGTCTGTTAATTTATGAACGCTGACTGACTCGCTGGGTACTCATTGCATGCACAAAGGCAACTGTCTTGATCAGCAGCATTTAACTGAGAAGCTGCTTATATTCTGAGTCTCTAGCATTAATAAGTGAATGTAGGGCATGCGGCAGAGAAGCTCCCTTTTCTGCTGCTAAATTAAAAAAAAAAATCAAATTCACTAAGGCCATATGAAAAAGGAAATATATACCGATATGAGGAAATATGTGCATGTCCATGAGCATGTTCGGGTCCGTGTGTGACCTTGGGTCTGTGGAAAACTCTTACAGATGTTGTGGTTGAATGTATGTCCTGGAGGACTTTGTTTAGAGTACCATGATTTAAACAAACAAACAAAGAAACAAAACACAAAAAAACCCCAAACTACCCTGGTAAACAGGAGATGGCTTAGTCATATCAAGTTCATCAGATGTAAAAGTTTGTATGTTGCAATGGTATGAATTGATAGATGCAGATGAACCAAGATGGCCACAACTCACAGCTCAAGTATGAAGGATAGATTTATTCCATCATTGCAGAGACATACATACACTGCTAAGTCCAAACTTAGCAGGGGCAAAACACCAGCCCAGTCTGGGCTTTGCCTTGCATATTAAAGGCCTGATGCATGTGCAGGTTCATCAACAGGCTCTGTTTTGACAATTCTAAACTCTCTTATCTCCATTTCCTCCAAGCCTGTGGGAAAGGATGCTTTTAAGTCTTTAACAACATTCTGTTGTCTTCTTTGAGAGAATTCCATTTCTTTCATCAGACAGAAAACAACCCAAAGAAACACAATATGTGAAAATTCCCACACTGAAAAAAATATTCTTAGCATTTCAGAATCATCTAGGTTGGATAAGAAATCATTGAGTCCAACCTATGACCTAACACCACCTTGTCAACTAGACCATGGCACTAGGTGCCACATTCAGGCTTTTCTTAAGCACTCCCAGGAATGGTGACTCCATCACCTCCCTGGACAGCCCATTCCACTGCCCAGTCGCTCCTTCTGTGAAGAACTTCTTCCTAATATCCAACCTAAGCCTCCCCTGGTGCAGCTTAAGACTATGTCCTATTGTCCTATTGCTGGTTGCCTGGGAGAAGAGACTGATACCCACCTCACTACAACCTCCTTTCAGACAGTTGTAGAGAGTGATGTGGTCTCCCCTGAGCCTCCTCCTCTCCAGACTAAACAACCCCAGCTCCCTTAGCTGCTTCTCACAGGACTTGTTCTCCAGACCCTTCACCACCCTTGCCATGGACGCCACCTGTCCATGCCCCTCTTTGGACATGCTCCTGCACCTCAATGTCCTTCCTGAATTGAGGGGCTCAGAACTGGATACAGCACTAGAGGTCTGGCCTCACCAGTGCCAAGTACAGGGGAAGAATCACTTCACTAGTCCTGTTTGCCACACTATTCCTAATACAGGCCAGGATGACATTGACTTTCTTGGCCACCTGGGCACACTGTTGGCTCATGTTCAGCCTGTTGTCAGTCAGTACCCCCATGTTCCTTTCTGCCTTCCTAGCTGCAGAGTTATCTTGAGCGGAAACAACTAAAAATAGTGCTATTTCCTAGCCAAATCTTCCATTTTCAACCCCTTCCTCCCTACACAGTATAATGTGTGGACTCTGCATAGATGAACGTTGACAAACAAGGGCTCTTAGACATCTTGGATAAGCAGTTAGAGTTTGTGTATGCAGTAGGTTAACCAATGGTAATTCCTTTGGATCAACTATTAGGGTAATTGAAATGCAAAGGCTACCTTGTAAAGATGTTCAAATATTTGAATTTATTTGAAATCTGTACCTTATTTTAATACTAGATAATTGCCTGGTCATAGGGACCTTTGCATTAGGTTAGAAATTGCTTGTGTAGATTGTGAAAAGGCTGCTGGAACTGTGTCCTGGAAGAAAGCACTGAGCAACAGTGATGGATGGGAAATCAATGTTCTTGGCCAGATTTTGAAATTCTTTGTGTTTACCCACTGCAGACTCAGTGCATGGTGGAAGAGGAGCAGAGAAACGGTGTCTGCCCCAGTTCCCCTGTCCGAGTGCCTCCGGAGTCCCCCACCGCACAAGTACGCTCCCTCAGATACCGCCGTGTGAACAGCCCAGAGTCAGAACGCCTCTCCACTGCTGATGGCAAAGGGGATCCACATGAAAGAAGGTTTGTTCATCCTCTGTAGCCTCCTACTGTTTCTGGCAGTGTCTTGATTACTGACCATTGAGACCAACCTAATCATTAGATCAGCAGGCGCTGGAAGTTCATTTCTGGGTGGAGGAGTTCATGGGCTTTATAATCTTTCTGATGAGATATAAACTCATGTCTCTTAGTAAGGAGAGTTAGTGGGAATGATTCCCATCCTGTCCCAGGATGGGAAGAACTCCGCGGATGGAAGGGGGGTCGTTTTTCAAAGGAAAGGCAAAGCATCAGATCAGAGATAAAGTAACAGTCAGAAAACTTTTGGCTGGCCTGAGGTGGGAGGGAAGGATGAATCTTCTAATTAGAATACTTACACATAGGAGTGCATGTATTCTGGGAGCTAGCTGGCAGATCCTGATCTGGTGGGCTTCATTATTTTATTGTTTTTCCTTATTTTTCATCAATAGGAATAGTAGTATTCACATTTCAGCATACAGTGTTGTGCTTGTTTGCATGCGAAAAATACACTTTGCATCTTGATTTTCAGGGTATTAGGAATACCTTCTCTCAGATCCACAGCAAAGCAATAAATAAAAATATGCAAGAATAATAAAAAATAATGAAAAGAAGCTTTCTAAACTATTATGTGCTGGAGAACACATTACAAAACATAAGCCCTTGGTGCTGGTGATGCCCTTCACATCTGTTTTCTGCTTCTAATTGAAATTCAGGGCATGAGCTGTAGTTGCAGGATGTAGTGGTGAAATGGCCCCTCTAAATGAGGTAGAGGAGAGACAGGCCTTCTTCTCAGAGAAAATATGACAGACTTCAGCCGAGAAGAACAGCCACAAGGAGACACTAGCTGGACATGAAGCAGGATGTAAAAGAACTAGAGAGAGGAAGAGCCCCAAGCACTACCCCCAGTGTATTAGGCAGTGTTTTATTCTGAGTGGCTGCAGTAATCTAGTGCTTTTCTATGGTTTAGAAAAGACTGTTTGTGTTGCTATTAATAATTTAAGGTTTGAATAACTTGCTACCTGTTTGTTTTCTTCTTACTCAGAAGAAAGACTCTTTAAAATAGGAAGGGAAACAGGGCATTATAAACAGTCAGCAACACTAGTTCTGCATATTCGCTGAATGCTTCTAACTCCTTCCTTTCTTTCTTCCATTATTCCTTGTCTACTCAGCATCATGCTAAATGCATCCCTTTCTCTTGTCTTCTTTCTTCAACTTCTGGTTTTAAAATCAGTATCTTTTTTTCATCTTCCAAGTAGCCTGCACCAAGCATGGTGCGAGTACAATCCCATTCTGCCCCACAATATCTCTTTATTCTGTTTTCATCCTTTCGCAACACAGATTTGATTCCCAGCACTGGCAAATTCTTTTGGCTTTCTGGAGTAAATTATTCTTCTCAAGATGTCTCTCCTCTGCTGGGGAATGGATGGAAACATTGGCTAAATTCAGAATTTTGTTTTATTTTTTCAGCGACAGCTCTTTAAAATCCAATTCTTCACATACACAGTATTTCATTCTTAGTTTGCATACTTAAGTGGTCCTTCTTCACAACAATATATTTTTAAGACCACAACAAGTACAGCCTTGCTTCTTTCAGATCCATCACATCGCTTTTGCTGAGATCTTTGTTTTTGCTCACAACTTCTATCTACATCAACCTTTGGTTCACTTACTTCTCTACTTCCCTTTTCTTCATCAAAAATTGGAAGGCTTTCCCCAGAAGAATCTGCAAGGCTCCTGGATGATCCTGTTGAAATTGCTTTGTAAAATGCACTGCAGATGTCCAAAAATCTGGGCAGCAGACACTTTGGCTTTGTGCAGCAAGCTGCTTGCCTCTGAGATAGGTGGAAAAGCAAAGTAAGGGGCAGATGCAGGTCAAATGAGAAACGTGGATCATAACACTGTGGAGCAGAAAGACAGAAGTGCCACTGACTTCTCCAGCTGAGATGCTGTCAGAACTGTTGAAACACAAGGAGCTTCCAGAGCCTTTCTGAAAGGTATTTCTGCATGGCTGCAGAAGCTGCTGCTCTTTAGACTGTGAGCCACCGAACATTATTCTACCCTTTGTAAACGGATACTTGCTATATTTACTTTGTGCTTCTTCAGAATATTTTGGTGTTATCTGTGTGTGATGGGATGAAAGATTCTTGCTGTCTTCAAAGAACTTGTGTGGCCGCCTTAGAGGCCTCAGTGGCCACCACACAGAGAGCACAGTGAAGCTGGTTATAGGACCCCAGGAGAGACACTAGTTAGTCAGACAGTAGATTTAGGGGTGTTTTGGTTTGATTTTTTTTCACAAGCCAGTGAAACTTACCGAAGGGGAAAGATGTTGTTGGGGAAAAATGGCTTTGATTCTGTCTAGGAGGAAAAGAGATGCTGAATTGTTATACTGAAGCACTTTAGGGGAACATCTTTATGCCACTGTAGGTTCTAAAGAAATATTTTTGCTTAAGGCTGTCTTTCTGAAGCGTACCAAGAAATGAGCGAGAAGGACTACACAGGTTTCCTCTTATCGGTCTTATTTCTGTCTTTGACCGCAAACCTGATGTGTTTTTAATGGCTTCATGTTCTATCTCTAGATCTCGAATGGATATACCTGGCTCTCCATCACGGCTTGTGTGCTCCTCCCAGCCAGCCCAGATGCTGTCCATCGATACTGGCCAGGCGGATCGGCAGGCAAGCGGTAGGATGGATGTGTCTGCTTCGGTGGAACACGAAGCCCTCAGCAACGCTTTCCGCTCAGTGCCCCTTGCAGAAGAGGAGGACTTTGATAGCAAGGAGTGGGTTATCATTGATAAGGAGACGGAACTGAAGGACTTTCACCCAGGTGCTGAGCCAAGCACCTCTGGTACCACAGATGAGGAGCCCGAGGAACTAAGGCCTATTGAGGATGGTGAAGAGAGAAGGCGCTTGGGGGCAGATGCTGCAGTCAGACCGAAGACGCATGATGGGCGAAGTCGGGGTATGCAGCCTGTGACTGAGGAGGACAGTTCCCACAGACATGAAGGACCTTCTCAAACAGTATCTGACAGTAGACATGAACAGCAGACAGGAAGTCCAGCCCACTCCCCCTTACATTCAGCACCAGCTCTCCGACAAAGGAGACGAGAATCTGAACCTACTGGTCCTCAGAGACAGGTAAGATCCCTGGGTCTGTACCTTTTTGCCTAGCATAACATCATCTTAGGAAACCTCAGCTGTGCTGGAGAAGTCTTTGATTCTAAGCATGACTGCTCTTGTGAAGCTCTTCTGACAGTGCTTGCAAATGTTGCGAACACCTTAGAAGCGCTCCCTATAGCTAGTGACATAGTCCCCTTCTAAGGACACACTGTTACTGAGATCTTTCAACCATTTCGGCACAGAACAGGAACAAGAAGAGTGCGCAGTTGTGATGGTGGGTGTCTTTAGTCAGTTCTCTTATGCTTTCCCACAGTGTTTTATTAATAACTGGTTAGTTGTATGGAAGTGTTGCTAGCAAATCTTCTCCACATAGTTTCTCAGCAGCAACAGCAGTGTATGGCAAGAAAATGCCCTCTAATCTAATTACATATCAGCACTGCACAGGCCTGCAGCAATGCAAATCATAAAATAGCTCCCTGGAATTAAACTTTCTTTTAAATACTTACTATAAAGCTCAGAGTAACCGGCACAGTGATCTCATCAGCCTTACTTCAGTGAGAGGCATTGTTGTCACCATGTATTTAGTCACAGAAATGTTTTTTACCTACTGTGTTTTTTACAGATAGCTGTAGAGGGCTTTTTTCCTTTCAGTTTTGCTTTTTTCCTGTGGCCTTCTAATGCTATAAAGAAGTTCCGTTTTTGGTTGGAGGTAATTTATTAGGTTACCTGGAAAAATATGATACACTGTTAGGCTCAGAGTTCCTCTGTCATATCTAATCTTCCTTTCTCAAAAGAAGGCTGTCCCAGAGTAATCAGTGCAAGAGACAATCAAATTGTTCTCCTCAGAGCTTTTGGTATTTGTATGTTAATGAAGATTTCTCATGCACGTGGGATCCATATGCACAGCAAAGAGCAGGCGAGTTTTGGGTAATGTACACAGTTATACCCTGATACGACAGACATTTGTGCAGTCTGCTTGTTCCTCTCTGGAAGATAGTAACTCCATTTCCCTTTCCCTCTTGAGCTTTTTCTCCAAGGAAGTGTTCACTGGACTGAAGCATGTTAAAAGAACATCCTTCCATTCAGATGTTCCCCATTTTCTTCTCCTCTTTAGATCCTTGAGAGGTACAAGGAAAAAAGGACTGTTAGTTTTTGGCAGCAAAATGTGAATGATACAAGAATCTACGTAAAAGGAATCAAAGCAAATTCTTGCCTGCCAGGCATGGTGTTGCTTGCTAAGATGTATCAGGCTGCAGCACTTACAGGAAGGTTAGAAATGCTGACAGCAGACACCAGGGGGACTGTCCTGCTGAGCATGGAATAGAAGCAGAACATACTTCTCATGGAGACTGCATCCAGTTGCAAGGTTCCTAGGTGGAGGTGTTTGCTGTATAAAGCCAATATGTTGAATGCCCCAGATATCTAGAGGTTACAGGAGGCAAGATCGGCAGAGTTGGAAGGCTCCGTGTCTGAATTTTCTCTGTGTGTGCACTTACTGGGTTGGTCAGTGCAGGATCTGCAAAAATTCTGCAATGAACATGGTAAGAGCCAGCTGATAAGAATCAGCTGTAAAAAACATCAGGGACACTTCGCTGACATATTTACTGTGACAAAGAAGGCCAGAGATGCCTTCTTGGCCACAGCATGTACGCCCCTGTGTGAAATGACTGGGGGAGTTGGGTGTGATGTGGTACGAAGGCTGCTTATCACTGCACAGCGATACTTAACAAGCAGGCAAGAAAGGTAAATCAGTGGGACTGTGGGTGATTACTGCTAATATATTAGACAGGCTCTGTTCTCCAGCTACTGGATTTTTCTGTTCCTATGCTCTGAAATACCCTCTATTTACTCCTTGGCCTAGCTTTGTACATACAGACCAACACTGGACTTCTTTGGCTGACTGGGATTTAGTTGTTCTTCCTTTGATGTCGGGATCCTTCAGCTGCCTCTGTACACACAGCTTTGAAGTGTTATTCATATTTTTCCATTTGATGTCACAAAACCAACTACTAACTCTCAAAGGAAAAATGACTTGGTGCCTAAAGGAAAGCAGAAGCCTGTTCTCCTTAGGTACAGCGAATAAGGAGGGACACTAACAAGAAGCTGACCAAGGATTTAACTAGTGAAGATACTGGCGGCCTTGTTAGCAATGACACATTTCCTGTAGCTCAGGCTTGGGCTTCCCTGGATTTGATTGAAACTGGGATTAGGCTCTGTGTGTGTATGTGTGTGTGCATGTTAGTAAATCTTCCTTATCTCTGAATATGAAGTGAGCCTTTAGGATAGGTAAAAATTTCACTAAATGCAGAACTACTGTGACTGAAGTCATAGGCTTTGTTGTACCAATTTGTGACCTCATTTTGGTGTCCCAAAAACTGTTGATCATCCATTGGTGTCAATACTGAGTCAACTAACTGAGAGCAACTGGGTAATCCCTGTTCTAATGGGTTTTTTTCTGTTTCTCCATTACCTGGCTCCAATATATGAGCCATTACTGGCAGAAAGTCAGTGACTTCTGGACTGTAATAGAATCACAACACACCTGAGATTGGAAGGGACCTTTAGAGATCACCTAGTCCCACCCTGCGCTCCAAGATGGATCACCTAGAGCAGGTTGCTCAGGACAGTGTCCAGTCAGAATATCTCTGAGGATGGAGACTCCACAATGTCTCTGGGCAACCTATCCCAGTGTTCAGTCACTGTTACGATAAAAAACCTTTTTCTTATGTTTAAGTGAAATTTCCTGTATTTCAATTTATGTCCATTTCTTCTTGTTTTTTCACTGGACACCATTAAGAAGAGTGTGGATCTATCTTCTTTTTCCCATCAGGTATTTATAAATGTTGATGAGAACACCCTGAGCCTTCTCTTTTCCAGAATAAAAAGTCCCAGCTCTCACAGCCTTTCCTCAGGTGAAAGGTCTCGCAGTCCCTTTGTCATCTTTGTGACTCTTCTCTGGACTATCTCCAGTATGTCCATGTTTCTCTTCTACCGGGCACCTCAGAACTGGAACACAGCACTCCAGGTGTGAGTAGAGGGGAAGGACCATGTCACCCAGCCTGCTGGCATCACTCCTAATGCATCCTGGGAGGCTTTGGGGCCTTTCTGCACCTTGCTGGCTTTTGTCCAGTTTAGAGGCCACCGGGACCTCCAGGTACTTCTCTGTCAAACTCCTTTCCAAACAAGTGGCCCTCAGTATGTTCTGTTCCTCCTCACATGCAGGACTTTGCAATTCTCTTTGTTGAACTTTGTGATTTTGCCCCTTTCAGCAGCCTATCCAGGCACCTCTGAGTGTCAGCACAACCCTCTGGTGTGTCAGCCCCTCCTCCCAGTGTTATATCACCTGTTGAAGGGACACTCTGCCCCATCATCCAGGTCATTAATGAAGTTGTTAAACAGTGATGGCTGCCTTATCAGCCCGTGGCTACACCACTAGTGACTGGCCTCCAGCTGGACTTTTTTTCTCTAAACACTTTGAGGCCAGGAGCTCAGCTAGTTTTCAGTCCAACTCACTGTCTACTTATCTAGCCTATATTTCATCATTTTGTCTGTGTGAGAGGTGGTGCTGTCCTCGTGAAACTCTGTGGGTGTAAGAGGGAGCATAATATGATCAGATGCTGCTGCGACGAAAGTCAAGTACAGAGGAGGCTCAGAATAGCCTGGAGGAATTTCTGACCCAAATATTCTCACATCTTAGATACCTCCCAGTTTCAGATAACAAGAAGATGGCTGCAGTGGAGCACTGATCTCATGGGAAGTCCTGGTACAGAGGAAGACTCCCTGCTCCTTGCTTATTTTAATTCTTGTTGAGCTGCGCTTGGTGCTTATTGCAGATGATGTGATTCTTTGACATTCAGCTCCTCCAGCTTCCCTTCATGAGAAGAGGAGCTTGTCAGCTGATGGAGAAGGATGAATGTAGAGTTGGCTTCTTAGACTCTTTAGATTCAGGGTCCCTGTCCATCCATGTGTTAGGAATAAAGGATCAGCAAAAGGGTGATAGTAGAAGTAATGTTCACCTCTGCCTATCTGTCTGTCTGTCTATCTATCTATCTATCTATCTATCTATCTATCTATCTATCTATCTATTTACAGATAATAGCAATCAAAACCTTAAGCTCAGCAGAAATTCCCAATTACATTTTATATCTGTAAAATATATTGAGTTTTATCAACATCACATTTTTCTGGGATTTCACATGCGAGGTGTCATCCTGCTCCTGTCCAAACAGAGCAGAATAGGCCTGTTGGAAGGTGGTGCAGCCTGATTACTGCAAGGGCACAAAAGGGAGCAGCACTTTCAGCATTGACTGTGTAGCTTCAGCATTAGAGCATCAATGCAAAAAAGTGGCATGTGTGTAACCTCAGCTTCAGCCCAGAGGCAACAAAACCAAAGTGCACTTGCTCCTTCATGGCCTGGGCAAGGTCCTTGGTCCTGTGCTGTAAAGCAAGTCTGTCTGGGTAGCTGGCAGCTTTTGATCTGAGAAATCTTTACCACGTTGGCATGATGTACACCCTGGAAATCATACAATATGATGAACCCAAACCTGGAGCGAAAAGTAAGAATAAAAATTCCAGGATGCTTAGTTGTGCAGCTTGCAAACAGTACACCCAGAGCTGAATTTCTATACCATCTTTGCAAAAAGAGATAGTTGTCTTTATGAGAAATTAATGCTGCTGTCTATATTTTATTTGTTTAGCTCGAGTACCCTGTATGATAGCATTACATTATTATTTTCCGAGACTGATCTATGCAGTGACATGAAGTACGTTTAGGACTGTGAATAATTGCTTTTCACATTTAATGCCGACCAGGAACTGAGTGGCTCTCAGGTGCTTATGAAAATATCTGTCTCAAAGCACTGCAAAGATATTGAAAGTGACAGGAAAGAGATGAGGCTGGATGACATTCAGCTCTTTTTCTAGTGCAAGGTCAACATCTCCAGTAAGGTACAGAGAGCAGTTTTGTCTTTATGAAAATACAATATTGCATTTTCACATTTCCCAATTAGATTTTGAAA